GACAAGTTCTGGTCAAGCCATCGAGGCTAGGTCAAATGGGTACTCTCAACAGGTTTGGATGTTCTTGTGCCTCTCCCCTCACTTCGTATCTGATGGACACTTCTCTCTCAGCTCTAGCCGTCCAGGGCTATGTCCTTGTCCATGGGCTCAGGTGTCCCCAGGTCTCACCATACTTTGGACCAACTGGCCCTTCCTCCTCTTTCTCTCATCTGCAGGTCGATGGGAGTCTATGGACTGTGGTCATACTCTGCCCATTTCTTCATTGCTGCTTTTCCCCCTCTCCAATGTGATCGCCAGCAAGCTTACATGCCTGCTCATGTGTTCTCTTTGAGTTTCAGTCTTGGAGGGGGGTTTGTCCTGAAGGGACTTGATTGATTGCCTCATGGCTCCCTGGCGAACAACTTGCTTGTTCTTATAGTAGCCAAGGCAAGGCTGCCATGTGATAGTATCCATTTACTTTAGCATCTCTGTGGTGAAGAGCAAGTTTCAGAGTCTCTTCTGGTATCCATTTGGTCTTTTCTTTCTTTCTTGCCTTAATGACCATTTTCTTTCTTCCTGTGTGATGTTCTTCATGTTATCCCACAACTCTTCTAGTCATTAGTGTTTCATGCATCAAATCTGTTCTTGAGATGATCTCTAAATTCAGGTGTGGTATGTTCAAAGTCAGATTCTTGGTGTGGCACTGTTGATTAAAGTGCTGGACTGCAAAGCCCTTTTGAATCGCAAGGCTGGCCAGTGTTCAAGCTCACCAGCTACTTCTTGGAAACCCTGGACTCGATGTCATTTGACAACAATAACAACAGTGTTCAGGGTCACATTTTGGGTCCTATGGACTTATTTTAATTTTCTTCAGCTTCATCCTTAACTTACTTATAGTCCACATTCTACCCTTGGCCTTGTTTTGACTGATTTAACAGATAAATTGTTGTTGTTGTTGTTAAGTGCCATCGAGTTGGTTCCGACCCATAGCGACCCTGTACAGGGTTTCCAAGGGTGTAAATCTTTACGGGAGTAGAAAGCCTCATCTTTCTCCCGCGGAGCGGCTGGTAGTTTCGAACCGCTCACCTTAAGGTTCACAGCCCGATTCGTAACCACTACGCTACCAGAGCTCCAACAACAACAGATAAATAGTACTTTTTTTTTATTATGGTAAAATATATGTAACAAAAATTGGCCAATTTCTTAATTTTTAAGTATACAAAATTCAGTGACAGTAATTACACTCACTATGTTTGGGTCTATATATTTCTATCCAATTAGTTAGTATTATTGCCATTACTTTATTGTTTACAATTAAATTTAATGGAATAGTACTTGTAGTCATGTGTATCAAAAAGTCTATTAAGATCACTAATTTCTAATTTTCAGTCGACATTTAAAAATTACAAAAAATTATGTGTGTTCTCTTTGATGTACTAAAACTTTGAATTTGTAATCAAACTGGATGAACTGTCATTCTTGTATTTGTATAAAATAAAATTAATGTTTACTTACACCTAATATTGTAGTAAAGCTCATGCTACCTAACACTTATTAATTCATTTCAGAGGGAAAATGGTTTTTATATTGTTTGACTCTTACTGTAATAGACTGTTAAGTTTTTGAGCAACATGCTATTTAATAAGAAATTCTGTAAACATAATTTCCTCCACTAGAGGGCAGTCTTAGAAAGATTTTTCCTTGTTTAATGTCAAGGTGTTTCTATACACCTTTCATGACAATTTAACTTTTCAAAATGAATTTCCGGAAAGATTTGGTAATTGCTCCTTTCTCCCCGAATATACACCTGCAGTTTAATCTTTTCGGAGATATAGGTGGTGGATATCTTATAAACTTTGCCCATTTATTGTCCCCTTTATATTTTATGTTGTTGTTGATAAGTGCTGTCGAGTCAGTTCCGACCCATAGCGACCCTGAACAGGGTTTCTGAGGGTGTAACTCTTTACAGGAGCAGAAAGCCTCATCTTTCTCCCGCGGAGCAGCTGGTAGTTTCAAACTGCTGACCTTGCGGTTTGCAGCCCAATTCGTAAAACCACTATGCTGCTAGAGCTCCTTATTTTATACAGATGGAATATTTATATTTTATACAGATGGAATATTTTCTATTCTCTATAATTGTGAAAGACTAGACTCTAACAGAAATGTAAACAAAGCCTTTTTGTCTAGCTTGACTTTACAATATTATCTTACATGATTATACTCTTCCATCCCCCACGGCGGGCGGGGGGGGGAAGCTCAGCAATAATTGTGGTAACAAAGCAAACAACATAAAACAAGTACTATTTGAAGATGTAGGCGATGTATTGGGTTAAGTGTTGGGCTACTAATCAAATCCGCCAGCCATTTCATGGGAAAAAGAGGGCCAGCCTGCTCCCATAAAGGCCTCCAGCCTCTGAAACTCCATGGAGCAGTTCCACTCCATCCTAGGTCTCTCTCAGCTCTAATCAACTCCATGGCAGCGGGTTTTGTGGCTCACAAACATTTTCTCAGATGAACATTTTATTAGCTATATGCCATTAAACAGAGGAAACCTGTGAAACAAGGTTTTGCCCTCTTAAATGTTCTATCATTTTATTTTAGCAATAGGAATAAATGACAAGAATAGAAGACATTAGTACTGTTTAAGTTCTTTCAAGTTGTCCCTTGTTTTCATTTTTGCTGAGTACAGTGGGCCCTAGAGAGAGAGTGTAGGAAGGGGTGAAAAAGGCTTTAACTTTTTTTTTTTTTTTTCCTTTTTTCTCTGTCAATAGCAACTGAGGATTTAATCTTAGGAAACCCTAGTATTTAAGTGATTAGTATAAAGAATTGTTCATGTTTTCAGTTCAGTCCAGGTTACACTCCTCAGTTATCTCCTTGCCTGACACATCACATTTGTGGTAATAGTAAAAAGTGCCCCAACATTTTGTTATAAACAGCACACACCTGGCAATAGTGATGCGAGGTGCAAGATGAGTAGTGATGGCTGGTGTAAGGTTTTGTGTATTTGGCGGGGCTATGATGAGTCTCAGTGGTTTGCCAGTTAGGTGATGATATAATCATCCTCCTTTGCCACGTATTGGTGCTCTTTGCTTAGTGATTTGGTATTTGGAGTATAACCTTGTCAGTAAAGGAGAAGTGGGTATGTATCCTTTTGCTTATTATAACTGTTGTCTTGACATGTTTTTTTATGCTCTCATACTTGTATACATAAAAAGCACCAGAGGACCTCATTAAAAATACAGATGTCAGTATTTTGGTCCCAGAGATGTTAATGGACTATATCTCAGGTGTAGAATATTAATAATGTCTTAATGATACCTACCCCACCCTACCCCTAGTGTTTTTGTGCTAAACCTGTTTTCTTTCTCAGAACAGTCACTTGCTAGTTGTTACCTTGAACAAGTTACTTAATGTATATGAGCCACATCTAAAAGAAGAGAGTACCAGTCTTTAAGATTGTTAAAGGGGTTATTGTTGCTAAACACCATCTAGCTGGTTCCAACTCACGCTGTAAGGGTTTCTGAGACCTTAAATCTTCGAGGGAGCAAAAGGTCTCATCTTTCTCCGTAGAGGCGACTGGTAGGCCTTGTGGTTCACAGTTCAGTGCTTATTGTATGGAACCACGGTGCTCCCTCCCTATTTTAGAGATTAGGTTAATTAATAGAAAGCAAAGGAAGCAGATCAGTTGCCATCAAACTGATTCCACTTCATGGTGAACCCCATGTGTGTCAAAGTAGAACTGTGCTCCATAGGGTTTTTGGTGAAGGTGGACCTTTCTTCTGAGGTGCCGATAAGTGGACTTGAATCTCTAACCTTTCAAATAGCAGCCATAGCTGTTTAACCACCAAGGGGCTCCAGTTAGTATTTAGGGTATTGGTTATAGCAGTGCTTGGCCCACAGGACATATGCAGTAAACTAGATGTCTTCGTTATTATACGTAAAACTGTTGTCATCTGGCCTATGCCCACCTTGTCATTCTTTTACGTTCTTACAGATACATCCTTTCAGATAACAATATAGCCATATTGACTTAGCGGTTCCCTAAATAAGTGGGTCTTTGAGGCTTGTGTGCGTTTGAATTTATAATCACCTATCCTTGGAATTATCTCATGCTGCTCCTGCTTTTTTAGTAATTTCTTGTCCATCAAGACTGTTCAATTGTTGTAATGACTAGACTGAACTGCCGTACATTCCCTGCCCCCACCACACATACTTTTCACTTAATTCCTTCCATTGTGCTCCCACTGAGAGGCATCTATGTGTTCTATCAGCACTCATGATGAACTTGGACAAGTTGATTAATTCCTTTCAGTCGTTTTTATTTCTAATGTGCAGAATGGAGGCCTGTATTATGGCACAATGTTACTGTGAAATAAGGAGATGATATGAGTGAAGGGCCTAGCCACATAATAGGTATTCAGTAAATAGTAACTGTGCCTGTAAGGTAATGATTTTAGTTCTCTTTTCCTTCACCTTTCTATGTTCAATACATAGTACAAGGGGCTTCAGAAGGTTCAGAGAAAAGTTCTATTACCTTTTCAGTCCATTTTCCACAAACTTTTTGAAACCCCGTTGTATAATATCAGTACTTAATAGGTTCTCAATAATGATTTGATAAGGAATGAATGAGTCTATGATTAAATGATAACTACATAAAAGATACTTGGAAAACTATTTAAAGGTTCTACTTTTAATATCAAACACTATTTAAAGGTTCTACCTGTATTTGAATGCTGAGTTTTCTGACAGGCAAACATACTGTGTATTTCAAATTGTATAAGAATCTGATTATATATAGCTAAGTTAAACCAAGTCATAAAAAGACAATTACGTGAATTGCTCTTGTGAATCAGACACAGGCCAGGCTATTAATGTGCTCTCTTAACTTTTTAAAATTTAACTTAATTTGACTTTTACAATGACAATAATTTATTTGATAATAATGTGGTTGCATAATGAAACAGCCTTCTGTGTTTTTATTTAACATTCCTTATTTTCAATTTTTTTTTCTCTCGTAATAGCAACATTTTGTTGAATTGGATGAAAATAGGCAGAGACTATTGCAGAAATGCAAGGAACTTATGAAGAGAGCGAGGCAAGTATGTAACCTCGGTGCAGAGCAGACAGTTCCTGAGGAGTACCAGACAGTAAGTATAAAATGGATACACTGCCTCAGTTACCATGTTTCTCTGTGACACATTCTTTTTTTGAGTTCACAGTGTGTTAGACTGTGCACAAGGCTACGAAAAACATGATGTGCCTTGGAAAGCGTGAAACTCCCCCTACTCCCCATTTTTAAAGTGAATATGTATAGGAAGCAATTTTGTCTAATAGCTTTTTCTCTGCTGTACTCGAATCTGGGCTTAATCAGTCTTCCTGCTTAGTACTAAGATTCTTAAGATGTATTATTAACTTTCGGGTGTAATAGCATTCATTCTTCTAATAACAGCTTTTTCCATCCAACCTGCTTTAAGGACTAGGGTTGGAGTTTGTCATGGAGACATAGTACTAGTAATTGTTCTATTAGAAACCGTTGTTTTATTGGACTTCAAAAAGTTCAATAAAAATGTAGTTGAAAGGTAATAGAATTTTTCCATGGGCTTTTGGAAGCCCACTTGTATTTAGAAAAACAAAGATGAGATGAAAATGTTTTCCCAGAAGTTGATGTGTTTAATTAGGGTTCAGTGGAAGCTGCATATTTAGAGCCAGCATCTAGAAAAGTGAAAAATACTTTTATTTCTATTCTATTTTATATGCTTACATAACACTGTGTTAGTAACATAGGAAATGCTACCCTTTATTCTAAATCTCACCATATTGATTATATAGCCCTGTGACCTTAGGCTTTAGCTGGTAAGTTGCAGTGACATTGTGCTTCTACTTTCAGAATAATGTCAAAATAAAATGATAGAATAGATAGTGAATTTTTAAGTATCTGACATTTGTATTTTCTTTTCATCTATAATATCTAATGTTTCCTATTTCAATAGATAATGAAATATATACTTAACTTTAAACCGAACTGGAAAATGACTCATTTAGATTATAATTCTTGAACCCTCAAAAGTTTTTTATTTAATGATAACAGAGAATGAATTTGACTATTTGGGTACATTGTGGTAATTGAGTAGATATTTGCCAAACAAGTTGAGACACTTATTTCTTAATGTATACTAGAACTTCTCCAAGTACGTACACTTTGCTATCATGAAAAAGAGTCCTGGTGTGGCGCTGTAGTGTAAGACTGGCAAGTTCAAACCCACCAGTCACTCTTCGGAAATCCTATACAAGGTCACTATGAGTCAGAACTGACTCATGATACTTAACAACAGCATTCATGAAATAAGAAATATTAGTGCAATAGTTATACTACCTTTTTCTTTCAGAAAATAGCATAATTCAATTCTTGATATGTTACACTGTTTTGGAAAGGAATAAATAACATTAGAAGATAATTCGTTAAAAGTATATTTATTATATGTTATATTCAAGAATTGAGTCAAACAGATATAATTCATTCTCTACTGAAACTTATATTCTAGTTTATAGGGTGGTCAGACAAAAGAAAAAAAAAATCAACTAGGAAATGGATAATGTTGATATGTAGTAAGATGTACTGAGAAGATAAAACAAAGTAAGATGTGAGACAGGGATGGTCAGGGAAGGCTCCTTTGAGAGGATAATATTTTAAATGAGTCTTAATTGAAGAAAAGATGCAATAAGTCTAGTGAAGATTAGAGAAAGTATTCCAGGCAGAGAGAACAGTTAATACCAGGACCCTGAAGCAGATGTGTGTATCGCACGTTTGAGAATAGAAAGAAACTCAGTGGATCTAATCTAATCCGAACAGAGAAGTAGACAGAAGCCGGATCATGTAGGGTTTTATAGACCATAGAGTCAGTTTGGGTTCTATTCGCTTTGAGATGGAACTCACTGGAGGAGTTTAACCAGAGGAATGATAAGACTAATTACAGTTTATAATGAAAAGCACTCTACTGTGTGGAAAAAGTAGGGTAGGAATACAAGATTGAAAGCAAGGAGATCACTTAGTACAGGGATGGGGGACCCTTTTTCATGCCAAAATTCATAATATCATTCGTGGGCCATACAAAACTATCAACTTGAAAATTAGCCTGCTGTATTTGGTCAAACCTTGAATTAACTTGCCCCTAATGTGATGACTGGAACTGCAGTTGCCTTGGTAGGGCCTGACCAAATGATTTCATGGGCCTTATATGGCCAATGGGCTGCACATACCCCATCCTGACTTAGAAGGTTACTGCTTTGGTTAAGGCAAGGAATTATTATAGGGAGTTGAATTAGGGTAGCAGTCAAAGGGAAAGGTTGACAGAGTTGGCATATCCCTTAATGTCATTGCCAGCAAGCTTTGCTGATGGATTTGGGGTAACGGATAAGAGATCTAGATTTTCTCACCTGAATAAATACTGATGCTACTTACTGAAACAAAGATTCTAATGAAAACGAGTTCACTTAAAGGAGTAAGGATGGTGGGTGAAATGAAGATTTCTGTTTCACCATCTTAAATTTCAGAGTCCTATTAGAGAGTCAGGTAGCCTTGGTGGCACAGTGGTTATAATAAACATCCAGCTGCTTATCTAGCTATGAGTCAGAATTGATTCAGTGGCAGTGTGTTTGTTGGGTTTGTTGTTGTTTTTGAATCAAGTGAAGACACCAAGTAAGTGCTGGCACATGAGTTCAGATTCAGCAGAATGCAGTTGTCCCCTGAACAACTGTTGGAGAGAACTGTTCACATGGAAATCACATGTCTTGCAACACTTAAGCTTACCACAGTACGAACAGGAAGTTTAAACCCAGTTGTATACATTACATACAAAGTATCTGAAGTCTGTAGATATCGAGAGCGCAGTGGTTAAAAGTGCTCAGCTGCCAATCGAAAGGTCAACAGTTTGAACTCACCAGCTGTTTCATGGGAGAAAGATGTGGCAGTCTGTATCCATAAAAAATTAAAGCCCTGAAAACCCTGGTGTCAGTTCTAAGAAGTTTGGAATAAGTTGTCATAATGTAATATTTGGAATCCTGGTGTAGCGCTGTAGGATAATGCACTGGACGGCAAGGTCTGTAGTGCAAACTCACCAGCTACTCCTCAGGAACCCAATACAGAGTTACTATGAGTCAGAACCGACTCGATGGCACTTAACAACAATAAATGTAATAGTTAAGGCTTCTTTACAGCATTTTAAGACTCATTTTGTAGCATGTAGTATATGGACATTGTGGTTTGTCTGCTAGGCAAAAAATAAATTATTTGCCTTCCTTCATAGGAATGTATCTGTTCTAATTTGTCTCTATGTCCTGGACTCAGAAAATAGCGGTGTGGTGAAATTCTACTGTCAAAGTAACTGGTTTCTTAGGATGCTTTTGTGGTTCTTCATAATTACAGTATAAAGTTCTAACTTCTTGCTCTCTTTCAATGCCCCACATATTCTGGACCCATTCTACCAATTCAGCAAGTACCCACCATTCCAAATGGACACAACTCCTCACCCCCCATGGTATGCCGTGCTCATTCTTTTTTCCAAGCTCCTATCCCCTCTTCCCTGCTTTTCCCTAACCATTTGCCTAAAGGCCCAGAGCTGAATTCTAGGTCTCTGAATTCTCTTAACTCTCCTGTAGCATGAACTGAGTCTTCCTTTCTCTAAACTCCCATAGCCTAGATAATGTGTACCAATTATTGTAGTAGTCAACATCAATACACTGCCTTAAGATGTTACTATGTGTGTACATTTTGTTTTCCTTGTAAGTGTAAGCTTGTTGAAGGCCAAAAAAGTCACCCTGTTTATAATTCGTGTGTATTGCTATTATGTGTTAGCATGCTGTTGAACATGTAATACTCAGCAGATTATTTTTTTTTCTTTTGGCCATTTGAATCAAACTGTTTTTACTTTACTGTCTGTAACGATGGATAATTTTTTTTCTCCTTTAGGCGTTCCAGGATCTTCCAAACACATTGGATGAAATTGATGCATTGTTAACTGAAGAAAGATCAAGAGCATCTTGCTTCACAGGACTGAATCCTACAGTATGCCTCTATCCCTATTCCTATTCTGCAACTGCCACCTCTACACACACACACAGTTCTCTCCAGTACTTGCCTCCCACTCTGTACCAGAGCTCTTGGTAATAATAAGCTAGACAGCAGGAACAATGTGCTTTAAATGCCAGATTCTGAATCTATTAGAATTTTAAATAGATTCTTCCTAAGGAACACTGTGTTCTGTGCCTTTTCTTTATAAAAAGAATAGTTGGGCTAACCTGAAATACTGCAATGTCTAATATTTTTTCAAGGCTACAAAAACGACATTTTCAGTATATTAGAAGAACATAAATTAATTGCATACAAACAGTGCAACACAGTTGGTATTTTCAGTTAAGGTTTTAATTGATACAAAATTTTATCTTTGGTAGACTTATCTTAATCTCTCTTTCGTGCCAGGTTGTTGAGGAGTATACAAAAAGAGAAGAAGAAATAGAACAATTAACTGAGGAGCTAAAGGGAAAGAAGGTAGAGCTGGATAAATATAGGGAAAACATTTCACAGGTAATTGTTTAATTTTTATCTTTTTTTTTTTCCAGCATTCTTGTCATTAATGATACAGGAATATAGAATCATGTAAAGTAAAAGGATTTACTTTTGTGAGAGTAAGAATGCAATGTGTGTTCTTATGGACAAATTGATAATTGCTGTTAAATTTTTCTTATGTAACATTTTGTATCGGAATATAATAACATTCCTTTTAAATTGTGTTTTTATATTACCTAATTGTAGGTAAAAGAAAGGTGGCTAAATCCTTTAAAAGAATTAGTAGAAAAAATCAATGAAAAATTCAGCAATTTTTTTAGTTCCATGCAGTGTGCTGGTGAAGTGGACCTCCATGCAGAAAATGAGGTAAAGCAACATTTCATATGTTTCTTGGCCAGTCGGTCTAACTGTGCTAAAGGTGTGCGTGTCAGCTCCTTCCTTCCTTCCGAGTCAAGTCACAGTTAGGGTCAAGACTGCCAGTGGGGCTCCATCCAGATTGCTTTTTGGTATTTTTTTTGTTGCTGTTTTGTTTTTTTTCCTTGATGACTTTTGAGATTATTGACTAGTATCTTAACTTTTTTTTTTTTTTTTAACTGGTCTGAGTAATGATTATTCTGCCATGTATTGCTTTATAAATCTTACACTACTCAATAAAAAGAGCCATAAGCAAATTGGCAAACAATTAAAATATGGTTCCCTTTGATCAAGAATTTAAGTGAATTTCACAAGAATGGGAATAATTTGAAAATGGGTTACCAATTTGAGCTAAAAGTTTGTGCATTGTAGTTTTCTGTAAAATTAATTTGCCATTAAGAACTGTAAATAAATGAAGTGGGATTTGTGTGAGAGGAAGATGTGTGGCATTACAGATGAAGCAAGAGTAGCTGTGCACTGCTTTTATATAGTATCATGGGTCGGTGGGTAAGCACTAGGCTACTGACCAAGAACTTCAAACCCACCAGGAGAGAAACTTGGTAATCTGCTTCTGTAAAGATTGCAACCTAGGAACCCCTTTGGGGCAGTTCTACTCATCTTTTACAGAGTTGCTGTGAGTCAGAATTGACTTAGAGGCACCTAACGACAACAGTATCATGTTTGGTGGTACATTGGGCTCGTTGTTCATTGATGTGTTATAATTTGATATATATTGGAAATTTTTCAAATAAAAGTTATTTTTAAAATAAAATACTTTTCATTTTGCATGTTAGTTACATACATAAATAATAAAGCAAGATCATACCTTTTGCCCCTTAAAGCAACGCTGTCACTTTCACTTTCAAATTCTTGTAAGATGCTGGACTCTGAATTGTCATCTACACAGTCTTTGGACTTGTTAGAATTAAGGGGATGTATCACAGGAACCATAGTAACGAATGTATAGTATGGTTCCTATGTGCCAGTCACTAACTATGCTAAGCACTTTTGAGTTTGTTGTTTTGTTTTACCTTCACTAAAGTCTTACTAAGTCAGTACTTTTAAGTCTGGTGACTCAGTTGGTCAAGCATCAGTCAAACCCACCAGTTACTCCACGGATGAAAGATGAGACTGTTGGGGCTATCTGCTTCCGTAAAAGTTTACTGTCTTGGAAAACATGAAGCCATTCTGCTCTGAATTATGTAGGGTTATTATGAATTGGAATGGACTGCACAGCAGTGAATTTGGTTTGTTGACCCTAGTTTGCTAACAAAGAAACTGAAACTTAGAGAGGTTAGGGAAATTTACTAAAAGTTACTAACATAGCTAACAAGTGGCAGAAAGGAAGCAAACTCTAGATCTAACCCTAGTACTTAAGCTTTTAAATACTGCCTCTCCTATGGAAGTTACATGGCTTTTATGGGATGAATACATGATTGCTGGTAGTTTGATATAAGATTCAAAGTAACCCCAGAACTTTTATCAGACAGGACCAGGTAACGACTGAGATCAAGTAGGCAGAGTACATGCAGCTTGTGGAACTTGATCTGTCATAGACATCCCATTCTTTATCGTGGTCCAGTTGTAGGTTACTCTAAATTTTATCTTATGCTGTTTTTTTGTTTTTTGTTTTTTTTTCTGTTTTAAATGATAACTATCCTACTAAGGATAAGGACCTCTGGTAGCATAGTGGTTACGAATTGGGCTGTTAACCTCAGGGTCAGCAGTTCAAAACTACCAGGTGTTCCGCGGGAGAAAGATGAGGCTTTCTGCTCATGTAAAGATTTACAGCCTCGGAAACCCTGTACAGGGTGGCTATGAGTAGGAACCGACTCCACGGCACATAACAACAACAGCATCCCACTAAAGAGATGATTCTGATTAACTTACTCTTTTTAAAAAGTATCAATAAAATATAAACTTTACTTCTCAACATAAGCTGCATCAAGTTCAAGAAACCAGCCATTTTTTTATGTCTGAGGCTTCTGAAATTTTGACCATGCTAGTGTAGTCTCTTGCATTATTAAATGAAGAAAAATGATGCCCTTTAAAGATTTTTTTTTTTTTTTACTTTTTATTGTGACCTGAATGGAGATTTACAGAGCATCGCATCAGTTTACAGTCAGCAAACCATATGTTTCATTACAATGGTTGTAATCCCCTTCATGTACCATCAGTTAACAGAATTTACCTCTATTGCCTTTAACTCTTCTCATTAACTTTTTTATTAAAATTTTCCTATCTAAGCTTGGATCCCCGGAAAATGGGCTTTTCTACTTCTTCTCAGCCTCCTTCCCCCTCCTACGCTAATCTCTCCCCCCGCCCCCCACCAGTCATGGCTCCAGAACTGCCTTCTTTAGGTAGTATCTCCAGTGAGGATGGAGGATGCTAGAAGGGCCAGAAAAGGGCATGGATGTCCTTGGGGTTTTGTTTTATTTTTTCAAAACATGTAGAACCCTAGTATCTTCTTAACCAGCTAAATAAATAAAATCAGAAGGACTCTTGACCCTCTTCAGTGGCATACACAGCTAGCTGCCTCTCTAGTAAGAAGTTGATGACATTCCAGTGTGTTTTAATTACCTTTACCTATAGAAAACAGTGTCACTGCCTCAAAAACCTAAAGATAGAACTATCATACGACCCAGAAATTCCACCAATAGGTATATACACAAAAGACTTGAAAGCAAAGACTCAGAAAGTGGCACTATAGGATGAGCATTGGACTGCTGCCCACACAATCAGCTGTTCAAATCCACCAGTTGCTCCTCAGTGACTCTATACAGGGTCAGTCTAAGTGGTAACTGACTCAACTGTACTTAACAAAAACAGTAACTTAAAAATCTAGCAATTTCAAATTTAGAAAAAGCTAACTGGAATTGTACAAAATGGTATGAGAAAAGGGGGGAAAGTTGCTCTTTCTTGTTAATCTTAAATGTTTTTCTTATCTAAATAGGTCACCTGGGGACCTCTAAAGCTTTTAGATAACATCTTCCTTAAAAGTTTTTATCATCTTTTAAATTAGTTGACTCAATTTTAAGTGCTTTACTCTTACAGTTAATTTAGTCAAAATGTTTGCAAACAATTTTGTGAGATTACAGCAAAAACTAACTTTTTATCCAACACTTGATGTTTTATAGGAGGATTATGATAAATATGGAATTCGAATTAGAGTCAAATTTCGCAGTAGCACTCAGCTGCATGAACTAACACCTCATCATCAAAGTGGAGGTGAAAGAAGTGTCTCTACCATGCTGTACTTGATGGCATTGCAGGAGCTTAACAGATGTCCGTTTAGAGTAGTAGATGAAATCAATCAGGTATTGTGATGGTTCCTTTACCATGGGTCTTCTGAGTCATGTAATCTATATGAATGTAACCAGTATTATTGTTATTGTTAAGGGAATGGACCCGATCAATGAACGGAGAGTATTTGAAATGGTTGTAAATACTGCTTGTAAAGAAAACACATCTCAGTACTTCTTTATTACACCAAAGGTAGGTAATGAGTAACCTTCAAGTGCTCATTTACGCGGAAGTCTCCTGTGGCTTGCTCTTATAGCAGATTTTGACCCAATATGTAAATATGAATAGGAACATTTCCAGAAAAGGGACTGAAAATGTTGCAGTAATATTTGTATTAATAAGGAAGACAAGTTCCAGTGACATACTTCATTGGAAGCCTCATTATTGGTGAAAGAAACCTAGAAGGCACAGTATTATGTTCTAGAACTGAGATTTCATCCCTGAGGTTGGCACTCACTCTAGAACAATTCTTCTAGAACAGCTCCTCTTAGTGTGCAAAAGTGACAGGAGAATGCAACCCCTAGAACTCCAGTCCTCTCCATTTCCCCAGAAAAATCTGTCTTAGCATACACTGCCCTTCCTCCTTAATCACAACTATTACTGTCCTGGCCCAGAGAGAATCATAACTGCTTCCAACACCCACTACCCTCAGAATAGTCTTTATAAAGTGTATTTCATTAGCTAGAACCATTGTCATAGGACATTTTCCTTTGGTACAAATCTAGTACTGTGAGTAAATTTAAAACTGATATACTAAAAGATGTACAAGGGGCTTCAGAAAGTTCATGGACAACTGCAATAAAAAGATAATGGAATCAGAAGGGAAGCAACCCAAATGCTCAGGCACAGAATGGAACCCATGGTATTAAACAACTTGAGCAGAAATTGTTGGATAGGAACCCAAACCGCTGTGTAAACCTTCATCAAAAGCATGGTAAAATACGACTTAAAAAAAATTTTTTTTTAAACATTAGGAATTTCAACAAGATAAAGGAGGCAGGAAATGAAACTATCTAAGAGCAAAGTTTATATATACTATTAAAATAAGGAGCTCTGGTAGCAGTTACGAATTGGGCTGCGAACCACAAGGTCAGCAGTTCGAAACTACCAGCTGTTCCACGGGAGAAAGATGAGGCTTTCTGCTCCCATAAAGATTTACAGCCTCGGAAACCCTGTACAGGGTCGCTATGAGTCGGAACCGACTCCACGGCACATAACAACAACAACAACAAATTAAGTTGGGATAAATCAAAAAAAGAAAAAAGATAATGGATTCTCTTTCCATAAGCTTTTTGGAGCTCCCTTGTATTCATGTAATCAGGTTTTTCTTCTTTAAGTATTCATGAAAAATTTCATTGGAGAGTCCATCCTAAATTCAAATTTTATATAGTAACAACCTGTGTGTCCTTTTTTCAGCAGATGTCTGTGGAATAGCCAGATCTATTCATAGCCTTTTGCTTACCAAACACCTTGGCCTATAAACCAAACCCCACCCTTTTATACATATTTCAGGGTACTCAGTCTATTGCAGTGCTTGATCATAGATGTTGCTTGAGACATGTTTGGCTAAATAAATGAAAATATTTATCCTGGGAAAATTCTGGACTATATATACTTTTCTCCAGAATCTACCTAAGAAATTATATGATCCTAATTAGCCGTTGGATTCATAGGGCTGCCGGGTATATACCTTAGGCCAAGCATCAGGTATATTAATTCCAGTCTGGCTGAGTATATATTAAGGTATTTGATAGCTTCATTAATATTACAAATAAATTAGTATACTTAACATACGTGTGAAGTTGGGAAATTCTGCTTCTTAATATGCGTTATATGACAATTTGCTTGTTTGAACACTTACAGCTCCTGCAAAACCTTCCTTATTCTGAAAAGATGACAGTATTGTTTGTCTACAATGGTCCTCATATGCTGGAACCAAGCAGATGGAATCTGAAGGCTTTCCAAAGGCGGCGGCGTCGTATCACATTCACTCAACCTTCTCAATAAAAGCAGAGGGAGGGACTTTGGAGTTTTTCTGTGAAAATCTGTTCATAAATACAGCTCTCCTGAATAAAAGCTAGGATTTTCATTAAAACGGAAAGATCGGTTATTTTTGGATACCTGCTTTTAAATACAAGTGGGTTGATGACGTGGAGACCATGGTAACGTCTTTCTCTGGAACACTGTCTGATAGTAAAAATGAAAGCTTCAGTCCTGGGGGTACTTGGGTCCCTAGTACTCTGACCGTGTGAGTCATGGGATTCCCTTGTTCAAAGGTATGTACTGTTGTGACATGTCTTTGAACAGTGGGTTGGCTGTGTGCTGATAATGACAAGTATGGTTTGTTTTCCAACCTGAGAGAAGTGGAAGAGCTTAGCAGTCACAAGTTTAGTTGACATGAAAACCCTGAACATTAATTGCAGAGTAATTTTTTATTTGAGAGCCTAAGTCATAGCTTTCTCCCAGTGTTATATTTAATTTTTAAAAAATTGATACGGAAATTTCTTGTCTTAAATATATAGTCATAATTTATGATAAAGCTATTTCTTTCTGTTAAAATGATTACCTTAACTAGGAAATGGAATTTTACAGACCTTTTTAAAAAGTTTATGAAACTCAATATCAATGTATTGATATTTCAATAAAGAAAGAAACACTGGGGTTCAAAATGGTAGCTGCACATCTCTGGAATATCACAAGACGGTCACAGATGATGCAAAGTGAAACCAAAAGAAATAGAATCAGGTGACAAGGGTTTTTAAAGAATAGCCGTGTAATGTATGTACGTGTTTTTAATTTAAAGTCAATTGTATTTTACATCTTCAATTTCTAAAGCATTTTTATAATTATTTTTTAGTAAGATTTTTCTGAAGATTTCATATACTGGTTTTTACAATTTATACTTGAAAATTTTCAGTGTTAACATAAAGAGTCAAGGAAAAGTACTGATTTGTTTAAAACCATAATGTTCTTAGAACTTAAAGCTTGTAGGTTTCTTACAGTGTTGCTTTACCCCATTATCTTAGAAAATCTAGTTTAAACTTTTCTTGAGCATGAAAGAGTTAGATGAGAAAATAATTTGTTTATTTCTGAGTTATATTAATTAATAGTGCCAAATTCTATCATTTTAAAACATAAATCTTAATCTTGTAGGATGATAGACTCATCCAAGGACATGTCTGGATGTATTCTGGTAATGACAAGTTTGTTAGTTTTTTATGTTGTTTTTTAGGTCCCAACCTAAAGCCAATTGAATAATTCCTCTCAGTTTGGTCTTTGTATATTCTTAAATCGCCACTGAAAATTATAAAACAAAGGGTCTTTCCTTCTTACTCATGCACCAACTATGAAAATAACTTTTAGCGTTTTCTCAAGTGTGAACAAGTTCAGTCAGATTATAAACTTTGAAAAAATGTTGGCATATTATTAAATGAAGGTTGTTACCACATGCTTTAGTTGTTAAATATTTCCTTTTCCACTGAAATATCAGTATGTGCTTGGTATTGTTTGTTTATTGAATTAAATTAGTGTCAGTCATCTTATTCCTGAAAAAGAATATCGTGGAAAAAGGCTTGAAGATGAGGAATTTTTTTAAGTAAAATGGTCAATTGCACTTCAGTTTACATATACAATTACCCAATACTGTAAACATTTGTTTCTCTGCTGAACAGTTAACATTTGATTTTACATTGAATTTTGAGCTGTGAATGATAAATTATGTATCATTTTTGACATTTAAATAAGAATGATAAGTCTAGAACAGTATATAGTCTCGGCCACTTAAAACTTCATCTATTTTTTGCAAACTAAAGTTTTAGTTGTATCCAAATTGTTAAAACTTCAAGTGAAAGTCTGATTAAATGAATAAAATGATAGTTAAAATCTTGGGTTGACATGCAAGTGCTTTTGATGACTGATCTTCATTGATTGTCTAAGGAGAATTTCTGTTAAACGATTTTCAGTCTCTAAAGTTAAAGGAATTCTTGCTGATTTCTAATTGTCTTCTGGACATGTGCTTATATTCTTTGGAGTATGAACCTTCAGTATATGAAAAATTTGTTCTTTTGTCCTGTTACTTACTGTGTGTGCATGTGGGCGAGCGTGTAACTGACAAAAACTGCTTTAGGCTGGGAAATGCTACTTTGTTGGTAATAAACATGTATTTTCATATTCTTTTTTGGCGTGTGTTATTTAAAATGAGCATCATTTTTTATATTTTCAACTTTCTCAAGAGTCATTTTTGTATTCAGATTGTGGGGTGAGGGAACAGGAATCAAGCCCAGCATTTACAGAACTCTGTTCAGCAGTTTTTCAGTGTTTATTAGAAAATTTAGTCCCTTGACTGCAAGGAGATTTACAAGCTATGGTGGTGGTGGTGTGCCCGCTAGTTGGTTTCCACTCATAGTGACCCTGTATAGGGTTTCTGAGGCTACATTTTTCACGGGAACAAAAAGCCTCATCTTTCTCCAGAGAAACGCCTACTGGACTCAAGCTGCTGGCTTGCAGTTAACAGCCCAATATGCCACCAGGGCTTCATACCAACTACTGTTGTTGTTAAGTGCCATCGAGTTAATTTCAAGTCATAGTGACCTTGGATAGGAGTGACCGAGGAGTGGCTGGTATGTTTGAACTGCCAACCATATGGTTCAAACCTATCTTGTGGCCCCGTGCTTATCCTACAACGCAACACTAGGACTCTACAATCTGTAACAGGAACGATAGACACCTAAAAATGGCTTAAATTAATGTACTACTAAAGAAACCAGAAGGAGCTCTGGTAGCGTAGTGGTTACGAATCAGGCTGTGAACCTCAAGGTCAGCAGTTTGGAACTACCAGCTGTTCTGCGGGAGAAAGCTTTCTGCTTCCGTAAAGATTCACAGCCTCAGAAACCCTGTACAGGATTGCTATGAGTCGGAATCGACTCCTTGGCACATAACAACAACAACAAAGAAACCAAACTATAAGGCAAGTATTCCTTTTGAGGTTGAAACTCTAGATTTGCTTAAAAACATGCCCAGTATCCCGAAGACTGAATTGTTAAGTGCCGTTGGTTTGGTTCCAACTCAGTGACCCTGTATAGGGTTTCCAAGGTTTCATTGTTTGTCTCTTGGTCTATTACAGGTTCCTCATGAGCACAATTAGGTGTTCTGGAAAATTCATTTTGCGCAATGTCGTCCATAGCTTGTCATTATCCACAAATTGAAAGCCTTTGTGTAGTCAATAAAGCACAAGCAAACATCTCTCTGGAGATAATGCACTCGCCCACAAGATCAGTTTGGACTGCAACATCAGTCCATTTCCTTTATCACGTTCAACTCTACTTTGAGGAGGCTACTATCTAAAGTAATTTTTTAAAAATTACTTAAAGCCAATCAGTGAATTGCTTTTAGATAACTATCCATTTCCATGTATATGAAATGAGGGTGGTAACTGATTCATAGAGGTGATGAGTAATGTGACCTATTTGGGTAGCTAGCACTGTAGCAGGCACTTCAATGGTTATTTTCCCCTCATATTGTAAATCCTGAAAAATATATCTTGAGTATTTTAAATATCAAGACCAAAACATTCTAAGTAAATTTATGTGGAGGTTTTATTCTTTTGTTGATAGTGTCAGTTGTTCAGAAGAGGTCGGCACAGGCGTACCTTTGGGCAGCACTGATATAATTTTTTAGATGCAACTTGTTTACTTTCTTAGTGACGTCCTTCCCTGTTTGGGGTATGAGGGTTATGCTTGCTTCATAAAATGCATTAGAAAGTTTTCCATCCTCCTCTCTATTCTGGAATAATCTGAGCAGAATTGGTGACAGCTCTTCCCTGAATGTTTGGTAGAGCTCACCAGTGAAGCCATCTGGGCCTGGACTTCTTTGGTTAGGAGTTTTTTGATGATGAATTTCTTCTTTTGTTATGGATCTGTTCAAGTTTTCTACTTCACTGTGTGTAAGTTTAGGTAGGTCGTGTTTATCTAAAAATGTATCCATCTCTTCTAAGTTTTCGAATTTGAGTACAACTCTTTATAGTATTCTGTTATTATCCTTTTGATTTCGTTTGATTCCACTGTGACATCGCCCAGGTGGTTTCTACTGCGTGTTATTTGTGTCTTCTCCGTCTTTTGTTAGGTTTGCCATTGGTCTGTCAATTTTGTTCATCCTTTCAAAGAACCAGCTTCTTGTCCTGTTGATTCTTTCTATAGTTTTTTCTGTTTTCTGTCTCATTTATTTCTGCTCTAATCTTTATTATTTCTTTTCTTTTGGTGGCTGTAAGTTCCCCCTGGTGGTCTGTTTCTAATTGTTGTAAATGCTGTGTTAATGTGTTAATTTTGGTTCTTT